GGGCTGAAAATTAATTGAGATTTTTATTAGTTTGAATGTTAATTAAATTTTTTTTTATTTTTAATATAATTTACCTATTTTATCTTTTTTTTTTTTTATGTTAATACAATAAAAACCATACACTTAAATTACAAATTACAATATCAGATCAATTAAAAAAAAAAAAAAACTCAGACAGATCAATTTTCTTTCCCATCTCACTGCAAAAGCAAACCCAGAAATCAGAAGAGGCAAAAGAGAGCAGGGGAGGAGAAGAACAGCCGGTGCCACTCACTGCTCACCACCGTCGGCCTCTGCTTGAGATCTAAGCAACCTACGTCGTCGGCGGCTTCCGATCCAACCTTTTGCTATTGTACAGAAGTAAAACTAGAAAGCAAGCTCTTCATCTTTGTGCAGAAGCAAAACCCAGAGGTACATAGCGGAAACAAAATAGATCAGGCGAAGTCATCATCGACCTCAGCCTTCGTCGGTCACATCCCTCTTCCCGATCTCAGCCTTCGCCGGTCACATCCCTCTTCTTCTTCCACCGACCTTAGCCTTTGCCGGTCACATCCCCCTTCTCCCACCGACCTCAGCCTTTGTCGGTCACATCCCCCTTCTTCTTCCACCGACCTCAGCCTTCGCCGGTCACTCTCCTTCAATCAACAGAACAGATTTGACATCCCCCTTCTTCCATCGACCTCAGCTTTCGCCAGTCACTCTCCTTCAACCAACAGAACAGATTTGATGATTTGTGTAATGTTAATTAAAATCTAATAAAAATGTAAAAAAAAAAAAGTTTTTTTAGTTAACCGATTGGACCGATCGGGTGAACCGGTTTAACCGGTTCAACCGGACCCGGTGACCAAAACGGGTCAACCACCGGGTCGGGTCCAAAAACATTGCTTCATCCATTTAAAAATTTTTACACGTAATATTATCTTAAAATTTTACAATTTATAATGTAAGCAGGCACATTTTTTTAATAGCAGGAGGATGATATGTGTAGTTCATTAATAATAATATTTTTTAATTTGTACTTTAAGAATATATATTAAAAGTATATTAAATATATTTTTTATTATAAATATATATAGTAAAAGTAAAAATTTATATTAATTTTAATTTTAGATTAATTTAATTGAATAATTAGTAAATAAAAATTTAAATTTTTTAATATAAATTTATAATAAAAA